TGTAATGTTTATGTAATGAATTATGTTCTTTTCTGAAAGCCTTGGTTCATCATTGCAGCAGTTTATTTGGTGTTTAATAGGCCCATATTGTCTGGGCTGTGGTATACATGACAAATAAAAGACAAAAGTACAGTAACTAACAGAATACCATGGGGTCGAGCAGTAAGCCTTGTGGCATGCCAAATGTAATTAATCATGCTAATGAAACATAATCCGCTACGGAGACTGACATTTTCCTGATTGATAAGTTGTGAACTAGTTCAAGATATTCCCACAGATACCAGCCTCAATCTGTCAATTAAAATTACATAATCAATTGTGTTGATGACTGTGGTTCAGTCCGACAGCATCAGCTCTTTCAGCCTGCATTTATCAGAAGACGATTAGTAACCCTAAAAGGGTTCATATTGATTTTTATTTTTTTTTTAATTAAAAAGCTGCAATATCTTGCTCTCATTTTCACTGCTTTTATACAATATGGTTACATTTTAAATTTGAATTTGAATTTGAATACAGCAGCAAGGCTCGAACCATGGCCACAGCCTTTGTGAGAAAAATAGACACCCAGCTGGCTATGCCTACTGCATGTTTCAGCCAGGAATAAGAGCTGCTTTTTTCATGCACTCATTTTTTGTGTAGGCGTATTTCATCTCTTTTTCTCATGGTTAGAATTGAACTAAACCAGTTGTTGTGAAGATAAGCCAGATATCTTAAACAAGCCTCAAACTTAATTAAATGAAAGAATAAAGCACAAGATTTGCCATTAAGTTTTTTCTGTTATGTTATGCCACCACTGCTAATTCCATAATCATGTATTCATGGCACAATATGGTACAAACAGTAGCGTTCTCAAATGAGTGTAGTCTGTAAATCAGCCGGGTGTGTGTCCCAGTGGAGGTCAGCTAATCTCTCATTCCAGAGGTGGAACTAGGCAGAAGGCACTTACACACACACACACACATACAGATATCCAGACTATCCTCATCACCATGTGTGGGTCCACAGGGAGGGGAAGTAGGGCGACACGCTACAGACACCCTGCCACCCACACCTGCCTTCGCTTCAGGCTGCAGACACACACACACAGTGGGAAGTAGCTACTTTCATACGAAATGCCACATTGGTTTGCTTAGCTTTTTCATCCTGCATGGTGTGGTTTATTTGCCAAGAATATTGCAAATGTGATAGGGATTAGAAATTTCAAGGGCTTTTCAATGGGTTACAGTCCATTTATGTCAGGTTAAATGTCCACAAACAGAGGTACACAGTAGTTTTAACAGCAATGTGCTGGAATAAATTCTGCACATTTTTGAGTCTTTATAAAATATCATCTTTAATAGCTCATTAAGGTTAGGTAAAGGCTTTGGTTGTATTTAAATAAGAAATGTGAAAATCAGCAGTGTAACATAATTGAGTACATTTTCTCAAGAACTGCACAACTTTAGGTCAAATTCCATTTTATCCTACTATACTCCAAATGAAATTATCTATAATGACCTATAAATTATAATCCTCTCATAAAAGATGATGCAATAGATTGAACTGCCCAAAATTATTTATAGTAGATCAAATTAGCTCCACCTCCCCCAGCTTCTCCAGGTTAGGATTCCTTCAGAGTTCATTGTTCAGGAGGTTTCTAAAAGAAGCCCAATTATCTGCAGAGGTCTCCTCCTGTCCTAAAGAAATGGACCGACTGATTAAAACTGGTAAAAAAAACAAAAACAAACACAGAATAAAGCAGTTTCACCTTAAACTTACTCCAGTGCTGTTTGGCGGACAGAGGATGTCCTTGAGGGCCTGCCAGACGAGTTGCTGCTAACGCTAGCTCAGCTTGTTTCTCTGATAACTTAAGATCCAGATGTCAACTAAAATCCTTCACCCGGTTAAAATATATAGTTAAAAACAAGATCAGAAAGTAAAAATATGGTTTAAAAATGTATAAAATGTCCAATGTATGACTGTTTCTGGCAGACACCCACAACACTGACTCATGCATAAAGGGGATAGGACACCACTGACAGGCGGCCAGTGAAACGCACTGTTACCTGAATCAAGTAACATTCTTTTGTACAACATTTGGTATAATGTAAATACACAAAATGTATGACATAGGGCTAGTGTTTAAAAAACATTTTAATGTGGAAATGTTGCATTATATATCTTTTAGTAAAAGATCGGAATACTTCTTCCACCACAGCTCAAAGTAAAACAATAATTTTTAGAGGAAATATTTGTTGTATGAATTCATTATTGAGCACCGGTTATCAGAGGCAGATGCTAATGCCTTCAAATGTCCTTTCCCCCCCAAAATCATTACTGTACTTTCTTATCTTGTGTCTTCCTTTGGTAAACCTTTGGGATGGGAAAACAATATCCTTTTTTGTGAAAACATATCTCCCAATTTTTGGAAAGTTTCCAGCCTGTTTTGGATTCAAATGTGGTATCTTTCGTCCAACCTCATGATTCAAAGGCCATCAGTTCCCACTGAGCATATTTAACATATGACACTTTGTGGGTCCTTCCATCTAAAGTGGTTTACAGTAGCAGGAGTGCATACATCTTGAGTATGGGTGGCCCCAATGGGAACTGAAGCTCATATCCTGACAGCGCTGGTGCTGATATATGCTTTACCTACCAAGCTACACAGAAAATGAAATCCCTAACCTTGGCAGCTTTAGTGCAAGGCTGCACTCATTGAGCTCCATGGGAAATTGAGTTTCTAACCCTGGCAGTAGCAGCGCTTATAGCTCTATCCAAAGGGCTGCAAAACTGCAGAATTTCAAAGGACAGATCACATTTTCTTTTGGCTCTGTAGGGGTCAATGGGGTCACCAAGGCTAAAAATATACTGTATATATGAACTTGTTGTTAGTAAGTTAAATTACAATATCTAACAAATGGCAAATTAAGATAAACAATGGTCATTTCATAAGAGTTTAATCATTTACACAATTTTTCATTTTTGACCAATTTCAAAATAATACGTAAAAATTGACAAAAACTTATGGCTACACGCTTCTCCTTGAGCTTTTAATTAAATTATTGCTTGTAATTTTAAAAAACTGTCTTGGTTTAAGTGTCCGTATTTACATAAAAGGCATGTATTTTCTTTTCATACAAATAAGTACAAATTTCTTGTGAGATAAGACTGCATATTATCTGTTTTGTGGTATTTCTTAATAAATGTGGTAGTTTTTAGTGTTGCTAATATCTTTCCTGAAATTCCACTCTCTTAGTTTTGCTGGTTTGCTTAGAGAAATGATTCAGTATTCATTTTGTTTAATTATTTTGAGTCATAGTAAAAAATACTTTTCTTTACTGTTTATTTATTAATTTATCTGAATATCTTATAGAAGCTCAACGCTTAATTGGTGCAGTCCTCTTTATTAACATTGAATGGTTAAAGTAAAAAAATTACAAAATTGTTAGGTATTTTGAGAACTGCAAATCCCAATTTTTGCATGTAACTCCCCTATCTCCTCCAATGTATTCTAAATTGTTATAAATATACAGCACTGTGGACTTTATTCGAGGATTATGGTGAAACTGTTTGGTTAACAAAAACCTGAATGTAGATTTTTTTTTTTTTCCTGAACGCTTTCATGTGAGAGTAGTGGTTATCTTCTTCATCTTCTCCTGTCCCACATCACAGGCATTTTTGAAGGAAGAAATCAAGAAGGCAGTGGAGAGAGGTCTCTGGGTCATTGGTAAAGTGAAAAATGATCCGCTTACATCCGTGCTAACACTGCCCGAAAAGATTGGGGGCAGATTGGACAGAGCTTTTCACATTAAAAAGACCAGCTCACCCACTCAAAGATGTAGGGCAGGGCCACTCAGGAGATAAAGTCACCGTCAGTGTGGTAAAAGCCAGTGGTGACACCACAGACGGCACTTCCTCTAGATTATCTTCAGTGAGAGGGATATTTCCAGTCCTATAGAGCCCAGGGAACGCCTGTAATCCGAGTCACTGTACCACTGATCATGTTTTAAACTGCAGCTTTTCATAGCTGCACTAATTCAACGTTTTTTTGTTTTTAGGTACATTAAAGCCACATGAAATAGGAAATTTCATTCATTCTGTATTTTGAAAGCACAAGGTTACAAATAAAATATAATCTGAACAGTAGAATAAAACAACTTTAGTTTCTATATGCCCGACTGGAA